TAAGTCACACTAATCAAGGCATAAGATGCACCCAACTGCTGGGACTGCGGTAGATGTGGAAAATATAGATAATTGATTCTGGTGTGAAGATGTCCAAAACAACATATATGAGTAATTTAAGAATGCAATTGATCTTGCACGTGCGATGCCACTTCTTGAAATGTTGGATACAATAAGCAGAGGAACCAATGTGAGGATTCAGCATAGGAATGCATAAGGTGATAAACATAATTATAAGTTCACTCTCAAAGGAGTGGAAACTCTTGATAAGGAACATAAAAATATTACGCATTGCACTGTTTTCTCTAGATCAAATGGTTGGTTTGAGGTTGTTGAGAAAAGTTCAGCTTCCATGGTGAATATGAGAAGATATACTTGTACTAGTAGGAAGTGAGAAATGAGAGGTATCCCTTCTCATCATGCGAGGAAAGTTGTCTTAGTTAAAAAGTGGAAAGCTGAAGAATATCATATTGGTTTTTTACTTTTAGGTGACAACAAACCTATGTTAGTCACTTCATCCACTATAGATAGTGGAAAAATTTAGAGAAAATCTGGTTTAATTAGACTGAAGCCACCATAAAGAGAAAGACAGAAAAAACAACCATGGTCGAAAACCAAAGCCTAAAAAGAAGAAAGCTAGGCCAAAGGATGGAATTTTATCCTCACGACCTCCTAACTCTGAAAATTCCATGGATGGAAGCTTTCATGAGCATGGAAGTTGAATGTATGAACAACTTAATCAGATTAGTACAATGTTCAATTCATGATAGTTATATGTGTGAACAAGAACAAGAACTCAACCCAAGCCCTCCATAGAAAGATAAAGATTCAATAAGGAAAACTTGTGTAAATTTTAAATTGACCTACCATAAAGATAACATTTAAACATCCAATTCTAATTTGAGCCCTTTTACATGAGCTTGTTTTTTCATAGGTTCTCAGAAATCCGTCTTGAAAGGTTTGTAAGTCTTGAGGTCGGTGGAAATGCCCACTACGGATCCTGCGGCCGCGGCTAGGGACACGAAAAGACAGGCCAAACTTAAGACTTGCATACAAACCCACCTTGTGCTCCATCTGGGCACATTCTTTTGTGCAATGTACATTTCCACTGGGAAATAAACAGTTAGAGGCCAAAACCCGATGGCCCCCAAGAGACCAAGCACGTCGTTGAAGAAAGGCACTAGCATTGAGATCAACGTTGTTGTAATCACGAAGAGTGTCCTCCACACAAGCCTGAAGAGATTCAAGTTGAAGGACTTGATCTTGATCTCGTTTGTGATGAACTCACTCTCTGGAAACCTCCTGGCGGCTTCCTTCTCGACAAAGGAAAAGAGGGGTTGGCAATAGACTTGGTAAGCACCGACCAGATGGATTATTATGGCGAGATTGGCAATGTCAAGCAACCAAAAAGGGTTTAAAAAGCCTCCAGCAGCAAGGAGATTTCCGGGTGAGGAGTCCCCAAATGCTGCATACCCTATGCAGCCACAGAGCATGTAGAAGAGTGTGGTCACTGCCACACTTATGAGAGTCGCTTTCCTCATCGTCTTTTCTTCTGTAGGCGGTGATTTCACCGTGTCCTGCATCATCAAATCTTTTTGTTGAAAAGCAGCTTTCAAAACACTCT